GCGGGGTATAAGTAATTGAAATAAATAAATAAATAAATAGTTCTTAAATGGGGGGAGGACAGATGTTTGATTTCATGATAACATTGCTATCATATGCTGCATCATAAATATTATAATACGGTGAATTTGTGTTGTACTCTGGCCCTTTGTCAGGCTCTGTCCATTGTGGTTCCTGACACCGCACACCGGTCCATTCAGGATAGCAGCGACACTGAAATGGCTCCCATGACAGCCCTTCCTGGTGCAGGAAATCCTTCTCCCCATCCAATACTTCTGGGTCCAGGTGGAGGAAGGCTCCTAGGTCACTGGGGTGCCGTCTCACACAACGTCCATTCCCGTGGCAGAGCTGGTGGCTACACAGGCGTGCTGCTGTGGTGACATTTATGACGTACGGCCCCAGTATGGAGGTGATGTAATGTTGAAGGCTCCAGCAGCTTTCCTAGAAGACAGAAAGCAGGAATTGCTGCTTAGAATATTAAAATTAGAAGAATACAATATTAAGAGATCCCTGAGCCAAAGGTCTAAGCAGTCCAAGGGCCCTTCCACACAGCTGAATAAAACCCCACATTATCCACTTTGAACTGGAATATATGGCAGTGTGGACTCAGATAACCCAGTTCAAAGCAGATATTGTCGGATTTTCTGCCTTGATATTCTGGGATATAGAGCTGTGTGGAAGGGCACCAAGATTTGGTTTATCCTGTGGGAACCAGGTGCTTATAAAAAAAAAACACTAGCAGGACATAAGTGAAGCAACCTGATGATGTCCCCTAACAAGCATCTGATATTTGACAAAATCTATAGACATCGTATCTAGTAGCCAGCCTTAACCTTAATTCATTTTTATAATTCTCTTTTAACCCCTCCAATTTGACGTCCAGTAGGTGCTCATCATCATAAATCGTTGCTGGCTCCATAGGTTGACCATGTGCTGTCAGAATTAGTATTTCCTTTTAATCTTTCAAGGTTGGAGCAACCCACAATTTAGTATGTTCAGGAAAGGTGAAACATCTGTAATGTTTCACTCTTATTTGCTGTTTTTCTAAGTAAAAATATTCCAGGACCTGGTCTACTTCCATTATGTTTCTAACAATTTCCTTTGGGAAGAGCCACACTTTCCTTTAGGAAGAATAGTCAAAAGTAAGACGATTGGAGATAAAGGATTTATACTACTTTATCCTCTCAAACCCAGCACAGAAAAATACCTGTTGGAGTCATCAATTTTGTGGGGAAAGTATGTGTCTCTTTTTTACCTGATACTCACTCTCTTCTCACCTGAAGGAACAAAATAAACTTTAAGAGATACTCACAACTGACTGAGAATAGGAAAGATCACCCCAGAGTACAACCCCTGCCGCTCCAAGCGCTGCACTCTCTCCAATAGTATACATCAGGTCATCCTGGTTGAAGAAATAAGAACTGTTTTACATTGAGGTCCATTTTGCCGATGCGAAGTCTGTATTAAGTGTGTGAAGATGCAGATCACTATGCCAATTGTCTGTACCAAAGAAGGGAGCATGCCAGGTGGAGAGGTTTAACCCACAAAGGAATCGCCTAATCCAGATGGGATTTTGGGTGAGCGGCACAAGGCTTCTGTCAGTCTGTTAGCACCAAGACTTAACCACCTTGACAAACATATTTCAGAATCTAGCTTGCTCTCTTCATCATTACATGATGCTTATATTTTTGTGATAGCTACACCTGGTAAGGAACATACTTGCTGTGCTAATCATGGCCCTGTATTCTCACTTAATATTGCTAACAAAATGTTGACAGCTATTTAAGCTAATCAATCACAAAATGTCATTTTGCCTTTGGTAAGTCCTGATGAGGTCAGATTTGTCAAAACAGGCAGGAAGCCAATGACATTTGATGATGGTAGTTATAGGCTTGATAGCTTTAGACTTGGATAGATCTAGTCAGCCAGCCATTATTTTTTTCAGATTTTCATAGAATCATAGGGTTGGAAGAGTCCATCAGAGCCATCAAATCCCACCCTCTGCCATGCAAGAAAACACAATCAAAGCACTGGCTATCTATCCCAGTGGTTCTCAACCTATGGGTCCCCAGGGGTTTTGGCTTACAATTCCCAGAAATCCCAGCTGTTAGGATTTCTGGGAGTTGAAGGCCAAAACATCTGGGAACTCACAGGTTGAGAACCATTGATCTAGCCTGTTTCAAAACCTCCAGAGAAAGAGATTCCACCACACTTGGAGGAGGCAGCATATTCCACTGCCGTACAGCTCTTATCATCAGAAGTTTTTTCTAATGTTTAGGTGGAATCTCCTTTCCTGTCGTTTGAATCCATTGCTCCACATTCTAGTCTCTGGAGCAGCACAACACAAGTTTGCTTCCTCCTCAATATCACATTATTTCAAATATTTATACAATATCTGGATACCATGCCCTATGAGGCCAAGAGACCTGAGTACAATACATCTGACCTGGATGTGATTGCCATGTTCAAATATTTGAAAGGATGTCATATTGAAGATGAAACAAGGTTGATTTCTCCTCGTCTAGAGATTAACACGTGGAGCAATGGATGCAAACTGCAGGAAAAGAGATTCCACCTGAATATTAGGAAAAACTTTGATAGTAAAAGCCATTTGACAGTGGGATACAGTGCCTTGGAGTTTGATGGAGTCTCCTTCTCTTGAGATTTTAACCAGAGGCTGGACAGCCATCTGCTGAGAGTGCTTTGATTGTCTGTTCCTGCATGACAGGGGGTTGAACTGGATGGCCTTTGTGGTCTCTTCCAGCTCTATGATTCCATGAATCTTTATTCGTCTATCTCATTTTAAAAACATATTTTGAACATGCTGAGATGCTTACCTCTTCCAGGTACCTTGAAGAGAGTCTGTAGGAGACTCTGGAATAGGCTATGACTGGGAGGGGCTGCTTGGGGCCAAACTGTGCCACCCGCAAGGCCTCTCTGAGCCGGTGGTGAATGAAACTCTGGCGGTAGGATGGTGGGAGCTTCGGTGGGAGGTAGATGCTGGGGTACAAAGCCGAGGAGACTTTCCACAGCCACATGAGCCGGTCGTTCCACTGGACCTCCTTAGGATTGCAGTGTCCTGTGTAATTCTCCTCTTTCTCCCAGTTGTCATTGAAGCACTCGGGAAATCGGTAGAAGCCCCAAAATCCCTGGGGCCTCAGTTCTTTACCCATATTTAGTGTGGTTTCCATGAGCATTCGAGCTGCACGCTCAAATTCTATCTCAGCAAAGTAAGATTGTTCCTGTGGGGAGAGGTTGGGAAATCTTCCCAATACCCACTGTTCAGAGGCCTCCCTGTACACTTTTTTGGATCCCCAGTTTTGTCTCCAGAGTGGCCTCCATTCCTCCCAGTCAACCACCGCCAGACCCTGGAAACCATGGTTCAAGAGCTCTGCAATTTCCTTTGAAGACTTCTCCAGGTGTTCTTCCAGAGGAACGTTCTGGGGTATTCCCCCGTTATGCAATTCACCTTCTTCAGAGATGTAGGGATAGAGTCCAAACTGATTTTTGTAAAAAATAGTCATGTTTTGCCCACGAAACACATTGTCTTTGTTCTCAACAATGCCATACACCCCAAGGGGCAAAGTAATCCCAAAGCGCTCTTGACATCTAACTGTGGGCAAATTCCACACTACAACAAATGGTTCATGCTGGACGATGGGCCTGGCAGTCGTTTGTTCCCAGTTATGCTCTTGCAAGTGTTCAGTGGCTCCAAGGCAGAAGGTGAGGCAGATACACATAACTCCATTCACAATCATGGCGGATGTAATAAGCCAACGTCTCTTCTGCGGCTTTTCCTAGTTGGTTTACAAATGCATACCCTGGCAGCAAGAAAGGAAAGAAACAGGCTGAATATGAGCTTTTTCTTCTCCAACCATTTACAGACCACCACCAACTACAAAAAAATCAGCATAACCGTTGCAGTGTCCCAACTCGTATATGGGAGCTTGTGCAAAAAAACTTATGGTGCTATGTAATGTACCCAGAAACATGCATTCCCAAGTCAAGCAACGTTTCTAGTTGAGCAGGTAAAATGCCTGTAAAACACGTTTTTTATTGGGCTTTGGGTATCTCTATGCATCTTCTTCCTCAATTCCTCCAGCCTTCCTCAATTCCTCCAGGTTAACTATTAATCAGAATTCCTAAAGCAGTTCTCTCAAGCAGTTTCTTAGAATCAATCAGAAAAGATTGCTTAAAAATCATTCTTGTAAGCCCCCTTGTGATCATCTTGATTTGTACTCTGCCTTTCCCCCAGAACTGGGAATCAAGGTGGCTTACAAATTTAAACAAATGCTATATAGCTATAAATATTCCAACGACCAACATGAAAATAGAATTGAACTATGGATAACTGCTAAAAATATTAAGTACTAGGCCAGGGTTATTTAGAGTTCGTGCCTAGCTGTAGAATCCGATTGTGTGCCATGTTAACATCTCTTGTTCATTAATTTGTTTACTGTATTTATAAACCACTTTTCTCACTCAAAGCAGTTTCCAACATAATCATGACAAAATCCAATGCCAAACATACATGCGAAAAACCAAAGCATAAAATCAAACAATAACATATAACTATGAATTAAAGCTATTGAAATCATATTAAACTATGAAACATAGGCAACATTTAGACATTAAGACATAGAATTAAAACATATTAGTATAAACATTAAAATCATATAATCCAAAATCATAATCCAAAGCCATTCTAATTGTCAATTGCACATATTCCCTGTTCATTTCTTGCACTGCTCATTGACCAAAGGCTTGGTCCCACAGCCATGTATTTGTTTTCTTTCTGAATGCCAAGAGGGAGGGGGCTGATCTAATTTCACTGGGGAGGGAGTTCCAAAGCTAAGAAGCCACCACTGAGAAGGCCCTGTCTCTTGTCCCCACCAGCCACACCTGCAAAGGGAGGTGGAACTGAGAGCAAGGCCTTCCCAGAAGATCTTAATCTCCTATATGGTTCATAGAAGGAGATGCATTCAGGCAGGTAAACTGGGCCAGAACCATTCAGGGCTTGATAGGCTAAAGCCAGCACTTTGAATTGTGTTTGCTAGCAGACTGGCAGTCAGTGGAGCTGACGTAACAGAGTGGTTGTATGTTCCCTGTATTCTACTCCAGTGAGAAATCTGGCTTCTGCCCATTGGAATACTTGCAGCTTCCAAGCAGTCTTCAAAGGCAACCCCACTTGCAGCGCATTGCAGTAGTCTATTCGGGATGTAACAAGAGCATGGACCACCATGGACAAGTCTTGCTTCCCAAGGTACAAGTGCAACTGGTGCATAAGTTTTAATTGTGTGAAAGCTCCCCTGTCCACCATCAAGACCTGGGGTTCCAGGCTCAGCTATGAGCCCAGGAGGACTCCCAAGCTGCTAACCTGCACCTTCAGAGAGAGTGTAACCTGTCCAACACAGCTGTAACCCTAAACCCTGTTCGGCCTTACAACTGACCAGGAGTACCTCTGTATTGTCTGTATTCAATTTCAATTTGTTCATCCTCATTTAGACCATCACAGCTGCCAAGCACTGGTTCAGGACCTGAACAGCCTCCTTAGCAGCAAGTGGAAAGGAATAATAGAGTTGGATGTCATCTGCATGCAGATGACATCTGACTTCAAAACTCTAGATGATCTCTCCCAGTGTCTTCATGCAGATGTGAAACAACACAGGGGACAATACTAAGCCTTGCGGGATCCCACAAGACAATTGCTGTAGGGCCGAGCAGATGTCCCCCAGCAACACCTTCTGAGAGCAGTTCTCCAGGAAGGACTGGAGCCATTGTAAGACAGTATCTCTGAGACCCATTCTGTGAGGCATCCCAGAAGGATACCATGGTCTACGGTATCGAAGATCACTGAGAGGTCCAGGAGAACCAACAGAGACACACTCCCCCTGTCAAGTTCCCTATGCAGATCATTCACTAAGGCGGCCAAGGCTGTTTCAGTTCCATGACGTGGCCTAAAGCCAGACTGTGCTGGATCCAGATCACCAGTTTCCTCCAAAAACACCTGGAGTTGTGAGGCCACCACATGTTTCAAGACTTTGTCCAAAAAGGGGAGATTGGAAACTGGCCGAAAGTTGCTCAATTGAGTGGGGCCCAGATACGTTTTTTTCAACAATGGTTTTATGATGGCCTCCTTTTAGGCCTGCTGGAATCTTGCCTTCTTGTAAGGAGGCATTAACCTTTATCCACACTGCCAAACTCCCTCAGGCCTCCTTTACCACCCAGGATGGGCGGCGATCTAGGATGCATGTGCTTGCCCTTGCTTCTCCAAGGATCTTATTCACATCCTCAGGCTGCACCAATTGAAAGAAATTAATTAAAACTGGACAAGCAGGTGCTCATGTTACATCTTCAGAGACTGCCGTTAACGTGGAGTCTAAGTTGGAACAGATCAGAGCAACTTTGTCCGCAAGGAACCAAGCAAATACTTCACAGTGAGCTGTTGAATGATCAGGGATCCCATCTTGTGAGATAGAATTTCTCACAACAGCCTTCTGACCATTTGAAACAACTCAGCTAGACAGTTCTTGGTGGATGCAATGTTGGACGGAATGAGTGATCTTCTTGCCGATTCCGCTGCCATTGCGTATGGCCTTAGATAGGCACACAGCCGTGTTCGGTTTGACTCACTGCGAGTTAAATGCCACTCACGCTCTAGTTCACTCTTTACATGCTTCATCACTGCCAGCTCCTCATTAAACCAAGGAGCTGATTTAGCTCTGCTATGCAGGAGGGAACATTCCAGAGCAATCGTGTCTATTGCCCTAATCATATCCCTATTCCAGAGGGTGACCAGAGCACCCACAGGACCATCTACCGAGGTGGTGGGAAAATCCCAAAGAACCATCAGGAATCCTTCCAGATCCATAAGCCTTCTGGGGCAGACAATCCTAATTGGTCCTCCACTACTGCAGAGGTTAGGGGGCACAGTAAGCCTAAACGTGATCAGGTGACAGTCGGTCCATGGCAACGAAGCAATGGTCAGCTCCTCCACACTGCCACTTTCCTTCCATCTGTGGCAAAAAACCAAGTCTAGTGTGTGTCCAGCTCTATGGGTGGGGCTAGATACCAATTGGGACAACCCCATGGTTGCCATGGTGGCCATGAAGTCCTGAGCCACTCCTGACAGGGTGGTCTTCACATGGATGTTAAGTCCCCCAGCATTATAAGCCGTTGGGACTCCAACACCAGGTCCGAGATCACCCTGGCTAGTTCAGGCAGGGAGACTGTAGTGCTACAGGGTGGTTGGTACACTAGCAGAATCCCTATTCTGTCCCGGGCACCTACCCTCAGGTGGACACACCCAAATGTGGTTGACTGTGGGATGGGGTACCTGGTCAGGGAGATGGAATCCCTGTAGACCACTGTGACCCCACTTCCCCACCCTGCAGATTGCAGCTGGTGCTGCACAGAGTAGCCTGGTGGACAAAGCAGGGAGAAATTAACCCCACTCCCCCGCTGATTTATCTAACCAGGTCTCTGTTATGCATGCCAGATCTGCATACTCATCCAGAATTAGATCCTGGATGCTAGCTGGTTTTTTCCATTTACAGACTTGGTGTTCAACAGCACCTCTTAATCCAGAGGGACCTCAGTGTTCATTACTCTTGCATGTAATAAACATATTGTAATCAATCAGCAAATGCTAAAGCAGGTGGCAAAGAACCCATCAGATAATAGCATGTTGTTAATTAGAAAGCTTTCAAAAGGCTCGTAAAAGTATAGAGGTTTGTGCTTGCTTTGCAAATGATCGCCAAGTACCCCTTTCTACTCAGACTGTGAATAAAGGCTTTGTTTTCTATTGTTTACTTTAAATCCATTCTTTAAAAATCTTCAATTCTAAAAGCTTGTTAGAATAATTCTTTGCTGAAAGAGATGGTGGGGTATCATTTTGGCCATCCTGAGAAGGGAGTTGCAACAGCCAAGGAACAGTTACTAAGAAGGCCCTAGAATTTAGTGGGTTAGAGAACATGAACACATGGAATGCTTTTCAGCAAAAAAAAAAAAAAAAATGAGGGGGGGGGGAGGGAATAAAATATTGGAGGTGGAGATCCCACAATGGGGCCAGCACAGTGGTACATAAGCCTCAGCCTCATTTCTAGAACTGCTACTTGTGGTGACAGAAACAGGGGAAATGAGGGAACAGTAAGAGGCTAGCTCACCCGCTTCAAGGCTAGCTGACAGACTGTTCCACATGCTCCAACATTTCATAGAGACACATGAAAACAGAGACATATGGCTCAGCAACATCAAAGTGTTCCCAAGAGGACAAAAGTTATTAATGAGGAAAGACACACATGCTCAGTGAGGATGCAGCAATGTGCTTTTGCCTGAGTCTACTGAGAACAAGATGAAAACGTTAATTTTTAAAAATAATTTATTATTCAAGAATGGTGCAATTTCAACATATTACCAGTTTGCTATTTCCCCTATCCCCTTAAACCTAGACTTCAAACATCTGCAATTATAAGGTTTCCTCTGGTTTAATTTTAAAAAGAAAGTGATATGGGTGGAATGTGGAGGATTACTGTAGAAATTGACAAAAGTACATTGTGTGTGAGGGGGATTAATATATTATCAATTTTTCTTATAAATGGACCAGAATGAAATGCTACATTAAAGAAGACTACTCTCCAACCCGCTTTCCACTCCCCATGGGATTAGGTCCTTAATCTGCAGCAATTGAAGAAAACTGACAAATGGGAAAGGTTGAAAGATAAACGGGGACATTTTCAATACAGTTTACAAAACAGGATGGCAGAGGATTGAGACTGTGCCAAATGGGGACACTTGGGAAGTGTGAAATCTGCTAGCATGCAGCCTCTGACAGGATCTTCTTCCAAAAAAAGAGCATCTTTTATTTACGTACAGGGAAAAACTTCAGGCTATTGTTCTGAGATAAGAGCCTTGAAGAAAACTGTAAATAAGATTAACTCGTGGGGCTTTTTGTAATCAATCATAAAAGAAGTGGTCATCATGAAACATGGAGCTGCCTGGTAGAGCGCTAGTTATTCTGGTTTGTATTTAAACCTAACCTAGTATGTTACATTGGTCAACAGAGGCTGTAAAAATCATATAGGGATAGTAAAAGGAATGGCTTTATTATACAGTTGGCAAGTGGTTTTTCCATAGTAAAGAAGGGCAGAATAGACTTGGCTACTTTCCCTTGCTGGTTTGGATTTGTTTATTTTCTGTCATTTCCCTTGCCTTCACTTTCCACTCCAGCAATGCAGCGTGAATGAATAGCAAGCCTAAGAAACAAGCCAGGATCATTCTCCTACTATGCTACCAATGGCTCATCGTTTCTGAGGTGATCTGTTGGAGGTGTTGTTTTATGAACCATGTACCTAATAAATAGGTCACCTCAACTGACTACCTATTGATCTGAAATAATTTTGGATTAGAAATGTATGTCTGCTCTGAAGTTAACTTCAATATCAGATACTCATGCAAAACACTGGTCACATTTGCTCCTTAAAGAGTACCAGGCCATGAGTTCAGGCTTTAGCACGGATTGGATAGTTTGCTATCTAGCTGAGGTGAACTTCTGATTCTTAAAAGTAACTCAAAAATAGCATTCAGTTTCCTCTGTCAGTTGAGAGACAGCCTTAGCAGTCATCTTTCTCTGTTACAACTGTTCCCTAAAAATGTGAAAGACAAGAGCATTGCATCACTTCTCCTACACTCTCCCTCACACCATTACAGGAGTTTGTAAGGTGTTGTCCACGTACTCCTAGAGAGCCCATGAACTGAGTGTTGTCTGCCTATAGCAGTAGTTCCCAAACTTTTTTGACTAGGGACCACTTTGACTAGGGACCACTCTCTAACATTAGTATCAAAAGGGTTATGAATCAGTTTTTGGTCAACTTTAAATTTGTTTTGCTTATTTGGGGTGCCGATTCAGAAAATTGCATTGGATAGACCACATCAGCTCTAGTTTCCAATACAGAACATATGCCATCCAGTAGTCGCCATCTGCTCGACCACAGAAAATCGTATTTAACAATATAAAGCTGATGTGGTCTATCCAATGCAATTTTCTGAATCAGCACCCCAAATAACCCCAGGAACCAGCTAAAAACGAAGACACCAAGAAAAAATATTGGTTGGGCTATGTTATTATCCATAGTAGTAATGGTGAAGCCGTGAATTCTTGCAGACCACTGGTGGTCCACGGACCACAGCTACAGAGATATAGTTATATCTATCTCTGTGCTTCTTAATTTCCCTTTGTTACCTTACAAATTGTGTTACAGTGCCTTTTTTCCTGGAGAATTCATAGCTTTTCTCTTATTTGCCAAGGGGTGGTAACCCATAATCAGTGTCCTTCTTGTGACAGATGTGATGGAATTGACACAAGTGTTGGTATTAAGAATATTCTACCTGCATGTAGGGCAAGGCTGGAGAACATGTAGTCTTCCACAAGTCATTGGACTGCAGTTTCCTGCATCCCTCACCAGCACAGGAGGTGGTGAGGAAGGGTACCATAGGTTTCAGTCCAATAACATGTAGATAGCCACATATTCACCACCCAAGATGTAGGATACAGGGAGATCTCTGAATACTTACTCACAAACTGGGGTGTCCTGGGAATACATGGAGACCTAAAAGGCAATAGTTCGTTATCTTGCAACAAATAACAGTGCCCTTCTTTTGTACAGGCCTAGACACTTGGGAAGTGTTTGACTTGTGATTTTGTGATACGAAATCCAGCAGAGATCTCTTTTGCTGTGACATACTATGGTTTTGTGTCAGTAAAAGAATAATAACAATAATAACAATAATAACAATAACAATAATAATAATAATAATAATAATAATAATAATAATAATAATAATTGCTTTTATTCTCATGATTTTAAGGCAACTTTGAAATGGAAGTCTTCAGGACTTTGTATACAAGTGACTAGAACTCAATTGATTTGCAATTTGTCACCATAGAAGGCACTCTGCATGGATGGAGAAGAAGATAACTGCTCCCGTGGGGTGAACCTGGCCCATTTCTCATGTTGCAGTGTTTGGCGACTTGGACAAACTTTACAAGGCTACACCATAAGCCCTCTTAACTAAGTCCCAGAATGCAAACCAGAAAAAAAATCAACAGTTTGTATGGTCAGACCACATTCATACATTAGAACAGCCTTCCCCAATATGGTCCTCTCCAGATATACATGGCATGTCCCAAAAGTAAGCTGAATGGTTTAATTTTTCAATTGAATATACATGCAGTTATAGTTCATTCTGTTCAAAAGAGGTTCCATGTGATCCAATACAGCATTGCAGCCAGTCTTCATAGCAGTAGAGGAAGCCTTCATTTGAGATTTTGTTCAAAGCCCTCCTCACAGTTGCCTGGATGTTTTCAGCTGTCCCAAAACGATGTCATTTGAGGCTGGTTTTGAGTTGGGGAAAAGAAATTGCACGGAGACAAGTCAGGGCTGTCTGGTAGGTGGGAAAGCATTCAGAACAACCTCCATATGAGCCACACTGTTTTCCATTATTGAAGTTGAAGCAAAGGAGTCTAGAGCAGACACTGCATGTACCTTGCTTACAGACAATATACTCAAAGGTTATCAAAATCATATCATAGACACTAGAACAACAGACCAGTAGGTCAATTCTTTTTTAAAAAAATAACAAGAGTAACAACTCAAGCTTTCTTAGAAGCCTCATCCCTTAATTCCCAACTATGAAATGTTACTCTCTCAGACACTGAAAACTTTTTTATCCTTCAACTAGGAATCCCTTTTCCATTAACTCGTTTGTGGGGATTCAAAACGGCAAGTGCAAGTGATGTCAGAAGCAAGCTACACGTGGTATCAACACTGGATTACAATTCTGGACATTTGAACTGAGCTTTATTTTAAACATTATAAACATGACAAAATGAGTTATGGAGTTGGCCTTTCTCTTAAATCAAACTTTGAACATGAGACAGGTATGTATGTATGTATGTATGTATGTATGTATGTATGTTGGACATCAGGGGACTGTTCCTATCACAAAAATGCAATTCTGGAACAGCCATAGACCCAATGCACACTGGAGCCCAACCTGGCTTCTTTTGTTCCTTCAGTTTTGATTACATATAAATACAAGAACTGGGGCAGAATCTCTCCCAATGCACCAAAATATCTGTAGCATTATGAGCAGTGGACTCACAAAAGGGTCTCCTCTGTGATGAGGTTTTGCCCCTTGTCTCCTCCCTAGTCCATTATTTGAATGAAAACTGCTTTTAGGAGCTGAAATATTTAGTTTAGAACAAAAACAAATTAACACAGAATTTTATCTTTTATATAAACACTTCATCAAAGGGAAGGCATATTATTTATTTATTTATTTTATTTGTAGCATTTATATTCCACCCTTCTCACCCCGAAGGGGACCCAGAGCGGAGCACAACATATATATGGCAAGCATTCCATGCCAGGACATAAAATAACGATAAATATACACAAATACTAAGATCAGTTATATCTACTTTAAAATCAGTTCTTTTAAACCATCTCAAAACACCATGCTGGCTCGGGTCAGCAGAGTGGGTTTCCTATTATTGCCTTATAGCACTGTCCCAAAGACTTGGTCCCACAGCCAGGCTTTTACTATCTTTCTGAAGGACAGGAGGGAGGGGGCTGATCTAATCTCGCCAGGAAGCCCCTCTCTCGACCCCACCAAACAAACCTGTGACAGTGGCAGGACCGAGAGCAGGGCCTCCCCAGATCTTAGTCTTCGTGGTTGTTTGTAAAGGGAAATGTGTTTGGACAAGTAAACTGGGCTGGGGCCATTTAGGGCTTTATAAGCCAAAGCCAGCACTTTGAATTGTGCCCAACAGCAAAACAGGCAGCCAGTGGAGCCGATGTAACATGGGAGTTGTGTGCTCCCTTTATGCCACCCCAGTTATTAACCTGGCTGCCTTTTTCTTGGACTATCTGAAGCTTCCAAACAGTCTTCAAAGGCAACCCCACATACAGTGCATTGCAGTAATCTATCCTGGATGTAACTAGAGCATGAACCACCGTTGCCAAGTCTGACTTCCCACTTACATGTGTTTAAAAATCAGTCTGTATGAATATAAATGTTTTAAAGCATCTGAAAAAGTAGGATGACAGAATATTTATTGGTACTGTTCCTGATACATTGGGATAGTTGGAGAATGAAAAAGCTACTTCAAAACAATCAGTCAGGGAAGTATATGTGTTTGTACTCACTGCAGAGTCAAGTGTAAACAGTTCAGATATTTGTTTATTGGTAAAGTAAAATCATGTGATACACTACTCAATGTAGCTCCACCCACTGTATTATTGCAAAAATCAATCTAGTACATGGGTGAAGAATATAACAGCCTTGGTCATGTGCATTCAAAATACACTGATTGTTGTTTTAGCATCTTCTCCTTTCCGTGGCATCAAATGGGCTCTTCTCTTCAGAGGCGCCTGATGAAACAGAACTGTTAGTTGACCAAATTCTTTGGCTTATCCCATTTAAAAAACGGTGATCTTGCACCATAGATAAAATACCAATTTTTCCTTCTCAAGGGTTTCCCTCCCTCCTCTAATTATCACTTCATCTTCAACACAGTGGCACAGCATGAAATAAATTAATCAGATGTCCTTCTCCATCCAAAATATGGGCCGAGCTCTGAGGTCTCGATAAGGAGTTCCCTGAAGCATCTCTTCCTGTGCCTTGTCCCCCGGCGGGCCACAAGAACCAAGTTCACATGAATTTGGCTGACCCGGCAAAGGGGCCTTTGGTGGAGGCACAGGAGGTGGGGGAGGTAGAGAAGTAGGCTGTGGGGCAGCCGTGGCACTAACGTTGTCAGAAGAAAAAGGCACAGGTTCCAAAACAGAGGACCCATCAAGCTGGAAAGAGAAGCCAGGGGGAGGAGGGGGTGGAGGTGGCAATAGAGGTGGTGGAAGAAAAGACCCTGAAGAAACAGAGGAGGGGGAAGGGGATACTGTATATCCCAGTGAAGGGAAATTGGATCCAGATCGGCTGCTGTAAGATGCACTTGAATCACTCTGTCCAGCCCCTGCAGGATGTTCTTCATCATGCTGAGGGTGAGAGACGCTCTCCAGAAATCCAACAGGCACAAGGGAGCTCACGAATCCTGCACACTGAACAGGCTTGGAGTAATGATAGCCCAGGTGGGCATAAAAATGCTGCTTGTCATGAGTGGTGAGGTGCAGATGGCAAAAACCCCGGGATTTGGCATAACTCTCAACAGCTTCCATTAGCTTCCTGCCATAGCCCTTTCCACGAAGAGCCTTGGCAACCACTACTGTCTCCACGAACAAGCTCTTGGGCCGGCCAACAACACGGGAGAGCCTGGCATGGCCCAGAAGCTGGGACTGGCTCTGTTTCCCTTCAGGTGTTTCTTCTACTGGCCTCTGAGTCCTGATCAGCACCAGGCACAAGGGGAAGCTGCTGTTGGATCTCTGCAGGGAGTGGATGCGGGAGGCCCGGCTCCGCTTCCACTCTTCGTTGATAAGGTCAACACAGGCCTCCAGCAGATCAGGCCTCTGGTGAAGGGGGACCACGGTGAGCATCTCTGAAACTGAGCCCATTCTTCTCACTATCAGGAGACCAAGCGACGAAGCTTTAGAAATGACACAATGAGCTTGGCATGAAAGCACAAACACAATTAAGTATGCTTGCAGTGTGCACCTGGTCCAGAAGATACATTATCATGGCCATTCCTTTCAGTGACATTATAGGGAAAGTTGAACTGCTTCTTGCATGGAATAAGCCCAAATGAAAGGGGCTGCACCAACCTCTATAAGCAGCCCAAAGGAATAAAACAAAGAACACCAAGCAGCAACCCAAACAGCAGCAGCAACCACATGGAGAGTACACAATTAGTCATGCTCCTTTTCTCACCTGCTGCAACATCTTCACCATAGACCGAGGTCTGAATAATTTACTACCATATTCCTCAACTGAATGCCTTATGCATGGGCTTGGACTACAACTCCCATCACCAGCATGTCCAAATAAGGAATGACCATTCTGCTATTATTACATCTGCCAATCAATGTACACTACTAAGCTGCTCCTATAAATTTCATCCCCCCCCCCACCCATTCCTTTTAACCAACCAAGTTTAATTAATCATATATGGAAACACCACACAACGTGGATCAGTTGTACCAGAGAAAGGCAAATGCTTCGTTTTAGCCCATATACTTGCTATATTCTTGCGACCAAAGCCTGGGTGAAAGCACCTCATCACTTGTAGAATGAAAATCCCATCCAGAGTATTTTAGCAAAAAAGTGAATTCCCTTTTCAATTCACAATTGTGAGAAGGGTGTGTGTGTACTGTACTGTATTAAGAAAGCAAATTTTATACTCCTTCTCTATATATTCCATGTGAACTCATAGAAAACCAAAACTGGAGAAGACCAGCGTTACCTTGTGGCTCTCATGTGATAGGAGCTAGAAATCTTTATTGGATTTTACTCTGAATTTTAAAGATTTAGAGTCCTAGAACAGGTTCAGCATCTTAATGAGTATTTTTATAGTCTGGAATAAAACCTGAGGCAAGCTCGCCACTCCACAGAATAGAGCCACCAGCTGCCACTAGAAAATGTTTATTCAGCTATAAAAAGGAACAATAGTTTAAGATGAACGCTGAAGTTTTGGATCTATCTTCTTGTAAAGGCCTTGTTGAAAGTGTGAGTCCAAGTCAGTTTTGTTAGATAAATAGCTTGAAACCTACACAATGCTAATAAGGTTTGTGTGGTTGGTGGCTTCAGAATGACTTCACACCTCTTCCCTTCAACAACAGAATACCTAATATTACTCATATTAGGCTCCTTACATTAAAATAATTCTACTGCATACACAGCTGGGATGTGCATTAACCAGACCTTGGAAAAAATATTTTTGGATTATAGCCCTAGGTAACAGCAGTGTTGGTAGGGGATTCAGGAACTGTGCTCCAAAACTGTAATTCCAAAAGTGTAGCATTGCATTAATCAATGCTAGAGTGGAAAATTAAAAGCAATGCATACATACACACGAGAATAATAAGCATTAATAACACATAAGTCTTTACTATCTCAGTAATGGTCACAAAGGAACACCACATTTTTTCTTGAGTCTGAGGTAGCTAGTATGTGGCCATGAGACTACACGTCTCCCAATCTCAATATACCACTTCTTCAAAAATCTCCCCTAAGTAAATACAGCAATAGATACAGCAAATTGCAAAAAGTGGTGTGTTGAAACATTTCCATAACCAGTCCAGCATGTCACAATTGATTGGCAAATGGTCTACAGAACTAGCCCACAAAGGGAATTCACACATATATTAATCACATTGTATCTTGAGCTGAAGAAGTTGAAATGCTCATGAGAGTGGGAGGAAGTAGAAAAACAGGAAGTCTACAATGTAAATGGATTGACTCAATCTAGGAAGTCACGGCTCCAAGTTTGCAAGACCTGAGCAAAGTTCCCAAGAACAGGGTTTTTTGGAGGTCTCTCATTCACTGGGTCATCATGACTCTGCAATGAGGATTTTGACAAGTCTCAATGCAAACTCAAGCCACAACCCTGTCATCTCTGAAACATTCTGGGAGGCAGCAACTTTCAAAAGAGTGGGCAAGCATAAATGACAGAAGGACAACTCCTTTTATATTGCTGTTTTCCTTTTACTTGCCCCTGAAGTACAGCAGGCAACTATCTTCCCATTCTGCATGTTCAAGTAGGGTATACACAACATGCAGCCTGGGGAACGGATGCAGGCCACACAAGGAGTTGGTGTGGTTCACAGAGCACTGCCTCCACGAAGGTTGGAAGAAAGGAAGGAGAAAAAGAAAGGAAAGGAAGAAAGGTTGGTAGGAAAAAGAGGGAGGGAGAAAAAGAAAGGGAGAAAAAAATGAAAAAAAGAAAGAGGGAGGGAACAAGATGGGAGAAAAGGAGAGAGGAGGGAGGGGGAGAAGAGAGGGAGAGAAAATGATAGGGAGGGAGAAAAGGAAAAAGAAAGGTAAGTAGGAAATAAGAGAGGGAAGGAAGAAAAGTAGAAAATGGAGGAATAAACAACAGCAATCCAAATGAATCATTAATTTTCACTTGGAAAGTAAGGTGCTAAAAACTTATTTGCGACCCCAAGAGACTTAGCCTATTTAATTTTGGCCCCTTACTACTGCCAAACTGTGCAGAACTAGTTTACAGCAATGCTTCTCGAGTTCTAGTTTTCCAGGTGTTTTGGACTTTAGGTCCCAGAATCCCTGATCATTGCTAAGACACTCTTTGGCAGAAGTTAAAGACTTTGTAAAACTAGAGATCCCATGATTTCATACCATTGGGTCATGGCTGTTAAAATGGGATGAAGCTGCTTTCATTCTACAGTGTAGGTGCACCCTAAGGCTTCTGAATAAGGAGCAGGCCTGTTCCCCCAATAGAGGATTTTCTCAACAAATTGGGAAAAGGTACTTTTTTGGATTAAAATTTCCAGAAAAACCACATATTTGTGAAAGGAAGTGTCGGGGCAGGAGTTGCCTCAATTACAGCACAAATTGCACTTTCTTACCTCTCCAAACTGCAGGGACTGCCAACCACTGCTTCTTAGACAACATTGACTCGTCCACCAAAAAGACATTGTGTAATTTCTCTCCCCCCCCCCCAAATGAAGTTGTGATGGTAGCCAGCTCAACAACCCAACATAAATTTGTACCAGGAACAAGAATCAGCCCAACAGCTGGAAACTATTTTACTTTCTCTCACAAATATTTTTATTCCCAATAAATACTTAACACATGACTTCTCCACAAGATTCACAAATTAATTTGTTTGTGCCTTCAAGTCATTTGTTAGCATATGATGGAATCATAAATTTCCTAATGGTCAGTCTACACCCACCTAATGGTTCATGGTGTATATAAACTACAGAAATGCTTTGATAAGGTGGTGGTCATTTTTGGACATGAATAACTCCAAGGCAAATCACATGTTTTGGATGCAAAAGGCTCCAGGTCCAAACCCTGGCATAACTGGGAATGGCCCTGGAGATCTGGTCCCTGTTAATGTAGATAATACAGAGGCAGAAGCAGCAGTAGGCATCTCAGTACAAAGCTTCGTATATTTATGGATGTCATACATTGACACTGTTACTGTTTTATGTACTGTATGGTGTAAATAATTTTTGGGCTTCGATTTTTGTGGAAAAGCAGAATACAAATAAACAAAAGAATGACAATGATTTGGATAAGAGCTGATCTGCATTTCAGCCAATCACAGCTTGTACTTTGGATCATATGCTACACGTGTTCCTTTATAGTGTTTGTGTGCTGCAAAAGGTCCACAGGTGTGCCACATAAGTGAGCAACAAGTAAATGATGGGAAGTTCTGGGCAGGTTGAAAACCAATGCTTTACAGTTTCACATGCCTACAAAAGTTCACTCGGAGATATTTTCATGTATTAAAATGGGACAGTCAGCAGAAAGGAATCTACTAGGCCTGTTTGATCAAGAAAAAAATTGTTTCTAAAATCGTTTTGTAATTGGGGTGTTTTTTTGTTTCGATATTTAAAATAATTACAAAACTTTTCCAAAAAAAGTTTTGATATTTACAAAATTTTGTAATTATTAACGAATTTTTAGAATATTTTTTTGTATTATTTAATAATAATATTAAAATAATATTAAAAAATAATATTAAAAATAATATTAAAAAATAATATTAAAAAATAATATTAAAAAATATTTTAAAATGGAAAACGAAACCGCACAGGCCTACTATACAGACATAGCGGGTTTGAGTCAGACCCAGCTAACACCTCCCAACAAAGGATTCCCCTGAGCAGGAATAATATTAAAATAATATTAAAAAATAATATTAAAAATAATATTAAAAATAATATTAAAAATATTTTAAAATGGAAAACGAAACCGCACAGGCCTACTATACAGACATAGCGGGTTTGAGTCAGACCCAGCTAACACCTCCCAACAAAGGATTCCCCTGAGCAGGAAGGAGCCAGACTTTGAAGCTACAGGCCATTTAATCCCAATCAAGCTGTCCAAACTCCATTTGCCAGTAGTTTCCAACAGACCTCTGAGGATGCCTGCCATAGATGTGGGCAAAATGTCAGGAGAGAATGCTTCTGGAACATGGTCATACAGCCCAGAAAACTCACAGCAAGCCTGGATGCAGCTCCTGCGCTCCGCCTCCGGGGGCCCGGCTCCTGCGCCCTCCGGGAGAGAAAGAGAAGGAAGGAAGGAAGGAAGGAAAGAGAAGAAAGGTGGGAGTGAGGCTAGGCAGAGACGAGAGAAAGAGAGAAGGAGGGAAGGAGACAGAGAGAGAGGGAGAGGGAGGAGAGAAAGGGGGAACGCGAGAAAGAGAGATAGAAAGAGGGGAAAGGGGGAGTGTGAGAGAGAGAGAAAGAGGGAGGGAGTGAAGGAAGGAGAGGAAAGAGAAGAGGGGGAAGGAGGGAGAAGAGAGAGAGAAAGAGAAAAAAGGGAGAGGAAGGGGAAAGAGAGAGAGAGGAGGAAGGAAAGAAGGAAGGAAGGAAGGAAAGGAGAGGAAGGAAGGAAGGAAGGGAAGGAAGGAAGGAAGAAGAGAGAAGGAAGAGGAGTGAGCAGGCAGGGACGGAGAGAAAGAGGGAACGCGAGAGAGAGAGGGGGGGAAAGGAGGGAGTGTGTGAGAGAGAAAGAGGGAGGGAGTGAGAGAGAAGGATGGAGTGAAAGAGAGAAGGGGGAGGAAGGAGGGACGCGAAAGAGAGAGAGAAAGAGGGGAAACGAGGGAGTGTGTGAGAGAGAAAGGGGGAAGAGAGAGAGAGAGAAGGAAGGAAAGAAGCGGGAGGAAGGAGGGAACGCGAGAGAGAGAGGCAGGGGCGGGGCTTGGCTCACTGGGTGCGCGCTCGCGGCGCCCCTTCGCCCCGCCCGTCCGCCCCATTTACAAAACGAGCGAAAGCTCGTAAATACTCTTGGAGTTGATGTTTCGATATTTTAAAACCCTTCCGGGTTTGAAATATTGTTTTGTTATCGTACCGTAAATGCAAAAATTAACGAATTTAAAACGAAATAACGAATTAACGAATCAAAACCGACAGGCCTAGAATCTACAGATTGTCATTAACACCTTTCACATTTGCATTAGAGATTAGCTTAAGTATGAGTGGCAAATTGCCTTTCTGGGTCACTCATCGTCTGTCACCCATGAAGACATGCCAAAAGTGTTAGGCACAAATGTCTCACAGCCCTCCTTGCACAGGCTATGATATAGCCTGTGCAAGCTTCCTTGGGGGAGATGGGGAAGGAAACACAGCAATACACAATTCATACTCCCTGTATTACAAAAAAAAAAAAATTCAGAAAGCCCTCTAGTAAAACTTAGGAATACCAGGAAAGAATGCTGCCACCCATAGGTAAACTTACTGTCCTATGTCTTTGGTGGAATTTCAAGTCAAAAAACATCACTACTACTCAGGCATTTTTCCTTGTGAACTTTGACTGATCCCTTCATAACTTGAAGAGCTTGGTCTCTGGCCTAATGTAGATAATTATCATAGAATCTGGCTCTAATGACTGCAACACTCCTCAGATACTATCAGCCAAAAGGTTGCACATTATTGTGCTTGTTTTGTACTTATAACCAACCTGCTGGTAGCAGAAAACTTTGCTTAAAGAGTATCCTTCTCCAACCTATCAATTGGGCATAGAAACAGTCTACCGTACTTACTCTTCCTTTCTAAGCAACGGCAGCAAAAGACTACACCATTCTGAGAGAACGAAATGCGAGAAAAATATCAGCTCAGACAAATCTACAAGAAGAGCTGAGAATCTCCCCTTGCCATAGTAGAGTGAAAGCTTCCAATCCTGTACATCCTTGTGATGGCTAGGAAAACATCCCATGCTCCTCAATTTCCAGCTTTTCCTTTTAGAACAAACGAAACCTACATGACAGCCTGGGCCTTATATTTCCCAGTACTGTGGTTCTCAACTTGTGGTTTCCCAGGTGTTTCGGTCTACGACTCCCAGAAATCCCTGCCAGTTGACCAGCTGTTGAGATTTCTGGGAGGCCAAAACATCTGGGAACCCACAGATTGAGGACCACTGGGCTAGCACCTGCCAGGCTCATTGACAAATATTAAAATATATCCAAGCATATGTCTCTATGCAACCCAGTAAGCAGCTTCTTTCTGCAGTAAGACCATCAACAGAAGAAAGATGTATCAGATTACCTGGAACAAATGACAGCTTCCTGAAGAACTGCCTCTCTGCTTTGTTGGATTACCTGGAATAGATGAGAGCTTCCTACAGAACTGCCTCCTTCCTTTATCCTTTCATCTTGCAAAATGAGGCCCCGGAGAAACTGTCTAGCAGGTTTCACAAGAATGTGACAGGAAGCTACACATACTCCTGTAGTTCACTTCTTCTTTTAAAGAGTGGACTCGGTGTTTATTTGAAGGGAGGCTGACCATGGAATGTAAATTAAAGGTTGATACCCTTCCCAAAAACAACAACAAAAGCAAGCAGTGAGCAAGACCTGATGAGGTTCTTCAAATACGCAGCTTCAACCTTCCCAGCGGACAGTCTAACTCAGGCATGGGCAAACTTCAGGTGCTTTGGACTTTTAACTCCCACAATTCCTAACAGTCAGTGGGTTGTTAAGAATTGTAGTGATTGCGGTCCAAAACACCCGGAGGACCGAAGTTTGCCCCTGCCTGGGCTAACTAAAACATTTAACCTGTGTGGAGAATGAGCTAGTTTAAATTATCAGCTTTTTTCTTACCACTCATCAATAATCTACACAATTTGGCAATACTTGCATCTTATTATTAACACAGAGAGAGCAAGGATCAGGGCTAACACTGCTGGAATGGCCCAGAAAGTAGGAAAGTTTCAGTAGGCAAGCCAGGTACTCCACAATACTTCTACCTCAATGTTAGTCATCTCATAAATTGAGCCTCCAGACACAAAAGTTGGTAGCATTTTGTCTTTGGGTTAATCAAGTCTTTAACCTCATCTCACTGTCAGCTTGACCTATTAGCACATTTAGCATAGTACCTCAAACAGAAGAATTCCTTCACATTCGGTTACAGGATAGTTACAAGGTAGGATATAAATATCCTTCCCAACCAATTATATGAATGACTATGCAAAGCTGGCATGAACAATCTTTTCTTTTAACAGTCATCTTGCTCACAATGCTGTTTTTGATGTCCCCAGTCACTATCCACTATATAGGAGGAAAATTACCCTCCCAATTCCCCCAAGGGGCCCTGGAGATGGTTGCTGTGTGTTCTGAAATCATATCGTATGGCAACCCTGAGTTGAACCTATCATTGTGTTTACTGAGGTTAAGCGTGCGTGATTTGCCCAGTGGGATTTCATTGCTGAGCAGGGATTCGAACCCTGATCTCCACAGTCATACTCCAATACGCAACCCACTAAGCCACACTATAGAAGTGTAGTGGGAGAATGGATAGTTTTGCCACATTTTTAGAGGTGTTGCAGGCCATCCAGCTCTGACATGAGGTGTGACCAAAGGCATCTAGGACTAACCATATACAGGGAGTCCCCAGGTTACAAACAAGATAGGTTGTGTAGGTTTGCTCTTAAGTTGAATTTGTTTGTAAGTCAGAGCAGGTAAATTTTAAGTGTGATTCCAGCCTATATACGTATGTATATGAGTTTTGGATAGCATTGGGAAGGGTTAACACCCCTGTGGTGTTGGTTTTGCTGTCTGTGCTCCTGTTCAGAAGATTTCATCTCACTTTTTGTCCCTGTGATCACTGGATTTTGATAAATTTGACTTGTAGAAACAAGGATTGGTGAGAAAGCTTCAATGGAGACACCTTTTCCCCATGATAACTCTTTCAGGAGTGAATTTCCCTTCCAAGGGGTAGATTTCTCTCACTTCCTGTTGTCTCACCCTTGTTCTTTACTATGACTTGTTTTAAGTTGGATGTCTGTAACTTGGGGACTGTGTGTATATAACCAAATGGAGGTCACATTATTGGAGTTCCAAGAGAATTCATGAAGCTTGGGATCAAGGAGTCAATTGGCCAAACTGAGAATGAACATGTGAATGCACTTATTCTGCCAGGAAAACTGTTGTTTACAAGGTCTAGAGCACAAAGGCCTGTTCTTCTGTTTCTGTCTGTAATACTTCCCAGTGTCAGTACATGACAAGGGTAAATAAGAGGAGAAAAGACCCTGTCTTGTTACAGGTAATTTGGGAACGCACTTGCTACCAGCAAACACTCCCTGGAAAAATGTCACAAAACCCATGGAAAATAGGGACAAGGCGAGGTAAACAGTGTGCATATAATGGTGTAGCCTGTTTCCTACTATCATTGGCACGGAAATCTACCCAACACAATTTTTCCTGCTCTGAAATTAAAAATACCAATTGGGCTCAGTTCTCCCCAGACATTGGCTTTTGCAATGCAGATTCATATTTATATTGGGGACACTGAAAGCATTCGCACATAACAGAGATCTGGATAGCTTGGGTTGCTATTTACCCATTGTGAAGTGTGAAAATATCAGGTGGGGGGGCACAGTCCAGCAAAAGTGAATCATGACTGTACTCCACTGACACTAAAGACATGTAACTGCAAAATGTCCTACAGGTTTACTCAGATTTAAGTCCTACTGTGTTCAGTGGGCTATACAGTTGAAAAGAACCTATATTTGCAGTGCAATTCTATTTTGTCATGAATCCAAGTTTGGGGGAAAAGAGAGTATAACCCTGCCATGGGCAAAGTGTGGCCTGAAGGGACATTTTGTGGGGTTTTTTCCTGAGTAGGCAGTGCTGCAGATGCACTTCACCCATAGTAAGAGACAATGGAGGAACAGAATTAGTTCTCCATAAAATAATTTACATCCTATATATTTGCAGTTGTTGCATACACTTCCGTATGTTTAGGCTCTTCTTGGATATGGGTCATCCTCCTCAGCAACATCAGAATCTGCCAAAGAAAACATCCTGTCCCATGGATGAACTGACGTTTCCATGTGGTTTCAAGGTTTCCATCGCCATTCATACCCCCTCAAGATGTGGTTTTGTCCAAGAGTTTGCTGTGCAAACCACTGTCTAGACTAGGAATCCCCAACCTTCTGGTCTTCTACATGTCTTGGATTTGGCTCCCATAATCCCTTACCATTAGGCCATGATGGCTGGAAATTCAGGGTGTTGAAATCCAAAGTTACTGTGTACCAAAGGCCATGAACCCCTGGTATAGACCAGTGCTTCTTAAGCTATCTGATATGGAAGACTTAAAAGGATTTTTTTCCTAATGTGCCTGGGTTATTATTAATTGCCATGAAGTTGACTTTTATATTCACCCTATGAATGAAAGATCTCCAAGTCTCCTTGTTATCAACAGTCCTGCTCAAATCCTATAAGCTCAGAGCTGTGTATTCCTTGAGTCTATCTACCTGTGATGCTGTTCTCTTTTCCTATTGCCTTCTATCTCAACAAGCAGTATTGTATTTTCTAATGAGTCACGTCTTCTCATATGTTAAAAGTAAATGGCCATGGCTCAGCCCCATATTTGTGTCATTGCCTACAAGTTGTTTTTTTCCTTCTAGGAAGCTTGCTGTGGACAGGCAGCTGATGGCTCATAAGCTGGTTCTTCGAGCACCATTTTGAATAATACTAGTTTAGGCCACCCTTTCCCAACTTGGTGTCCTCCAGATGCATTGGACTTCAATTTCCAGAATTCCAGAAGGAACACTGGACTAAAGAAGCATGATCTGTACCCAAGGAAGGGTCAATAGATCTTGGCTAAAATGGTTGCCATCTTCAAAAGTATTACAAAAGCATTTTCTAATCTTTAGGAGTGACTAAAGCCTGCCTCTGTGGTCAGCACTATGCTGGGAAATGGCAACTGCATAACACTGCTTCTCACAAATGTGTTCCAATTACTTTAAAAGGCCACAACATTAATAATGTGCACTTTTTTATACATTGGTTTCACCTTCTCCAACTGAACGCAATATCTGATGAACGCAGGTTAAGCATATTGCACATAGAAACCCAAGGCTATGCCAATTTAATCAGAGGCAAGAACACTTTTACTTAGGGAAAAGTGTTTATCAGATTGCCGTCTTTGAAAAATGTAAACAAAATAAAATTGTGGATAAGGTCAATCACTTTTCTAGAGATACTACTGTACAAATTCAAATAAAATGCCCTCAACCCCACTGTTCATTAAAGGATTTAGGGATGAGTGCATATATGTGTATAATATGTGTTTTCAAGTTACCTGTGGATGTATAACAAGTTCATGCATCTCATAAGGTTTTCTCACAGCTATGCTATTGCTATTTCACTGAAATGCAAAACTCAATCAGAGTCCATTGTTCATATTATATCACCTCCCCTAAAACAAAACCAGGCAAACTAGATAAAGGGGGGTGACTCATGCTATCAGTACATGCTACTATCTATTTTTTTTCCCCTGTCACTCATTACTGAGGAATGCTAACAACATAGATTGTACAATCTCCCTCCTCTCAACAGCTATGGGGAGCATGAGAGCTGTAAATCAGAAGTGGAAGCTTTCCCAGATAAACTCATATGGAGATATATTTGGACAAGATTTTAGAAACTGCCAGTCCCTGCCCCATCATATTGGATACATAATAATATAATAATAATAATAATAAAACTTTATTTATATCCCACCATATCTCCCCATAGGGACTCAACATTCTGTTCCTGTTCCATAGAGAAACTAGATTTGATCCTTGAGAGTTTTAAACTCTGAAAATATTAGTCATGATGGCTGCTCTCTGGGATGCTTTTCAGTGGCATAAACTTGGTTTAAATCAGCCCTGTTGCATGCCATCTCTTTCTTGTTGAGCAACAAAGGAGTGCAAAGCAACAGCAAGGCAGTCCAACCCCTGCAATGCAGAAATATATGTGCCCTCCTCCAAGGAGCTGCCACTTGCTCTTATTCTCTTCTCCCATCAAATTGCTTGTATTATTGACCCAGGGCAGACACGGAGATTTTTTTAAAAAATAAAGGACACAAGGTGCGAGCAAAGTCTGTCACTGTGCTAAGCGGGGGGGAAAGCCTGCTGAATCTTCCACTAATTCCTGGGGGTGGAAGAGTGGCTTTTCTTTTAATGACAAACCTTTCTCTCTCCGACCTAGACTATACTTCTTCAAGGAAGAGTTTTGACACGAATTGACCATTTATGGTATGGTTCAACCTCCTCCTTTGTCATGTGACAACAGCACTTCTACATACAGACACACACAAGAATCAAACCACTCTGAATTGTGATTCAATATAACCCAGTGGTTCTCAACCTGTGGATCCCCAAGTGTTTTGGCCTACAACTCCCAGAAATCTCAGTCAGTTTCAATGTTGTTTTGATTCTTGTGTGATACAGTATCTTCATATGGTCATGTGGGTGAAAGTATCCCCAGAAAAAGTAAAAGTACCATTCACATACATAGGTTTGCCAGGAGAGGGCTCCCCTACCTTTTAATGACTGCGGAAAATAAGTTTCAGCTGGTGTTGCTTATCACACAATCAAGAAATGTGTAATGCCTGCTGAAATTCCATCTCCTTCCCAGTGATTAAAAGTACATACAGCATCTTCAATTTCTACTTCCTCTCTATCTTTATACATGTGTGTGTGTGTACAGGGAGTCCCAAAAATATATACAATCTTATCAACATATCATGCTAGGTCTTCTTGCTTTCTTACAATTCATTTTTAAAAATGCATATACCCTTAACAGGAATAGAAACCCTGAGCAGAAGCAGAGCAATGTTGGGAAATTACAAGAGAAACATTGGCGAGGTTCACAACTCTGTGCTTCAGCAATGCAAACACTGCATGAGAAACATTAAGTAATGCATGCAAATCTGTGTGTCAACAATACAAGCAGTGCATCCCTGTGCAGGGATGACCATTTGAACACCTTACTTAAAATTGCAATTCAAGATTGAATTTGTAAAACTAGTGAAATCATTCATATTAATATTTATTCTTCTGTATTAATGTACTGATTTAGCCATCAAATTATCATTATTGCCTAGGCATGGGCAAACTTGGGCCTCCAGGTGTTTTGGACTTCAACTCCCACCATTCCTCACAGCCTCAGGCCCCTTCCTTTTCCCCCTCAACCGATAAAGTGAAAAGGCCTGAGGCTGTTAGGAATGGTGGGCATTGAAGTCCAAAATACTTTGAAGGAGGGCCCAAGTTTGCCCATGCCAACAAACAACCGCAATGAGTTGTTAAAAGGTGTATACATGTTTTGGGACGTCCAGCGGTGTATGTGTATAGGTGTGTAAGCACAAACATTGACATATAGATACACACACACACACAGAATAGACTCTCAGTTAACCAGCACCCATGGGGATGTCACATAAATACTTTCTGGTTGCTTGAGAATTACTGTTAAAAGCAGGCCTAACACCATAAACTCTGGATTGACTTGATATTAATATTGAAATACAATAGTTTCAACAAATAAAGACCAATAAAAGTTAAAGTAACAGTTTTGTGAATGCAGTAATAAATTCAGTATTATTATATACTTTTGCTGGTTGCCTGGGAGTTCTGGTTAACTGAGAGATTGTACATAAACACCAGGCATGGGCAAACTTCGACCCTCCAGGTGTTTTGGACTTCAACTCCCACAATCCCTAACAGCCTTGAATTGTGGGAGTTGAAGTCCAAAACACCTGGAGGGTCGCAGTTTGCCCATGCCTGACATACACCCATATATACACTCGCACGCCACGCAAACAGGCTTCTCCTTTGACCCATGCCCATATAGGGGCCTTGCCAGCTTCCTCTGCAGCAGAGAAGGGAAAATACCAACACACACCCCCTCCCACGCTCCTCGCCCCCCACCCAAGCAAAAGCCCGGCTGCGCGCGCAGGAATCCCGCCTTATCCAGCCCCCTCCTGCGCCTGCGCCTCCTCGCGCGCTCCTGCCTCGCGCCCCAGGGCCGGGCGCAGCTGATACTAACATGTTAGCCAACTGCGGAACCTTCCGGCCTCGCGCCCTGCTACCTCTCGCCACCCAGGCTCCGCTCGCTCGCTCAAGAGCCAGCTCGCGCAATAAGCGCAGGTTAAAGAAAGGCAGGCAAGAGGGAGGCCCACCTTGCTCTTCCGGAGACGACAGCGTCCCCTAGCGACTGGGAAGCGCCGGCTCTGACCTTTTGCTTTTTTCCCTCTCCCTCTATAGCAGGGTTTCTCAACCCCTTAATACAGTTCCTCATGCTGTGTGACCCCCAACCATAAAATTATTTTCCTTGCTACTTCATAACTGTAATTCT